GGCTATCTTTGAGGGTGTTAGGTGGCACCTCATTGTTGTTTTAATTTGCATTTCTCTTATGGCTAAAGATCGGGAACATTTTCTCATATGTTTGGTGGCCATTCGGATTTCCGCCCCTGTGAAACTTCTGTTCAAGTCCTTTGCCCACCTCCTCAGTGGGCAATTAGTTTTTTTCTTTTTGAAAGCGAGCAGAGTATTATAGATTTTAGTAATAAGGCCTTTGTCTGATGTGTCATTGCTAAAGATGTTTTCCCAGTCCGTGGACTCTCTTATTACTCTCTTGGTGAATTATTTTGATGTACACAGGTGTTTTATCTTCAGTATATCCCATTTCTCAATTTGTCCCTCCTCTGTGTTTGTGTCCTTCCCTATTTCTGATAGCCTATGTATTCCCTGTGCCAAAGTTCTCAAATTGGTCCCAATTTCCTCATTGACGGCCCTAATAGTTTAGGGTGTAACTTCAAGGTCTGTGATCCACCTTGAGGTTACTCTTGTGCATGGAGTGAGATAAGGGTCTTGCTTCACATTTCTGCAAGTAAATATCCATTTTTTTCCAGCACCACTTGTTAAAGAGCGCATCTGCTTCCCATTGGATATTTTTGGGGCCCTTATCAAAGATCAGTTGTCTGTATGCTGATGATTTTATTTCTGTTCTTTTCCATTGGTCTGAGTATCTGTCATTGTACCAATACCATGCGGTTTTGACCACTGTGGCTGTATAGTATGAGTTAAAGTCAGGTAATGCAAACCCTCCCACTGTGTCCTTCTTCTTGAGGAGTTCTCTGCTAATTCTGGGCTTCTTCCCTCTCCATATGAAGTTGGTAATCAGTTTTTCCATTTTTTTTGAAGAAAGATGAGGGTAGTTGTATCAGGATTTCATTAAATTTATATAGTGCCTTTGGCAGAACTGACATCTTGACTATACTGAGTCTTCCAATCCACGAGCATGGGATATTCTTTGTTGAGCTCGCTCTTGGTTTCTTGTAATAGTGTTCTGTAGTTTTCCCCATATAAATCTTTTGTTCTTATAGTTGGGTATATCCCTAGATATTTCAGTTTGTGTTTGGCCATGGTGAAGGGTACCACCTTTTTTATCTCCTCTTCTGTGGTCTTATCTGA